GTTCAAACAATGACATTCATGTATAACTGCACTGCCCATGAGACAACTTGGTTTGCCCCTTTTTATGTTCGGGAGGGTGCCGAGATTACCTGTTGACCTTATGTTTCAAAGTGTGCTTCGTGATGAGTCAATCTGTGATTACAGTGACTATGTTCAATCCCTTGTTGGTGATCTACAGTCTGCTATGGCGCTGGCTCAAAAGTACTCTACTGCAGAACAAAAACACCAGTCTGATCAGTACAATAAGAGAGTCAAAGGATTGCCTCTGTCAGTCGGTGATCATGTTCTTGTTGCCAACAAAGGCTGTAGGGGTAAACGGAAGCTTGCCGATAAATGGGAACCCACCATGTATTCCGTTGTTGCCTCAGAACCTTCCCTGCAAATTTACAAGATCCGTGACAGATCTGGTCATGAGAAAGTGGTACATCGGAATCTATTGTTGCCAGTTAACTTCCTCCCTTTGCCTTCAACTGACATTTCTGTTGATGACAGTGCTACTGGTGGTCCTTGTTCCACTTCATCTCAATCTGTTTGTGATGTGGCTGAATCAACATTACCTGTCACTGATGATTTGTCTCACATAGCTGTTTCTGATGATGATCGTACTGCTTCTTGGGTTTCGTCCCATTCTTCTCAGTCTGTTTCTGAAGCACATAATGACTTACCTGTTGACCATGACACTGTAGCTAGTGCTTCTTTTTCTACTGTTCCTGTTCCTAGTAGTTCACATGATCCTATGGTTGACAATCACCCTGATGATCGTTACACTACCAGGCTTGGTAGGGTAATTAAACCTGTTCGTAGGTTAATTGAGTCTATGGTTCAACTCGAAACCTTACTTGGGATAGATTCTGTATCTTCTGTTATTCATGTGTAAGTCTATGTATGGTATTGCACAGACTCTGGTAATTATGTGTATAATTGCCTGAAAATGTTTTTTTTTTTCCCTGTGTTTATTAATCCTGTTTGTATAATTGGTCTGAATTTATCAAGGTGTAATGGGCACTTTGCTTATGCCTGCAAGATGTGTGGAAGTTTGGCCAACTTTCGCCATTTTTTGTATCCCTTGGTTGGGTAACTTTTAAGATGGAGTCTTTACGGTAGACCATGTAATTCAAGTGACCAGTGTATTCTCTTGTTCTACTTTTTCAGGATTTTGTGTAAATTCTGGGGGGTGAGTGTAACAGGTACATAAAGTGTACTGTTAAATGTATTTATAGTTTATTAGAATTTCCACAAAGTTATTTGTTGACATATACCTGATATTACTGCCTAAGTGAAGTTGAGTGTCTTTTCCTTTAATTGATGTGATGTCATGAGTCAATATAATTTCCTGTTCTGTCTCCTCCTCTTCCTCTTTGCACTGGTGATGCAGTGAGAGGTGAGGTTATTTTGGGCTCCTGATAATCATCTTTAATCTATATTAAGTGTTGCTTTTACTGTATGTCTAAATTTTCATTCTAATTCCTTTGTGCAATATTATTTTATTTATCTGTGTGGCTATTTTTGTAAATTTTGTCCCGATTAAGTGATGTTTTAACATCTGGGCCTAAATGTGAAATTAAAACACGTGTGACAAGTGTACGTCATATTTGTTTTATAGAGCTAGAGAGGGCGCTTCTCACTAAGAGGCTGATTATGTTTCATTTGTCTATCAGGTATGTCTTCTGTTATATGTTTATGCATTTTATTGTATTTATATTTAATATTTATTTATATTTATTTATATTTATATTTAATATTTATATTTAAACAATATGAATGTAAGCCAGAGGAGAACTGGCCCCCGACTGAGCCTGGGTTCTCCCAAGGTTTTTTCTCCATCCAATCTGATGGAGTTTGGTTCCTTGCCACTGTCGCCTTGCTTTTGGCTTGCTTTGAGCTTGCTCAGTTGGGGTTATTTAGTGTTTAGCAATGTTGTTGATCTGTGTTGTGCTACTTTCATGTTATCACTGTGAAGCTGCTTTGATACAATCTGTATTGTGAAAAGCGCTATATAAATAAATGTGACTTGACTTGACTTGACTATTGTGATTCTCTCCTCTTTGCACTGGTGATGCAGTGAGAGAGCTAGAGAGGGCGCTTCTCACTAAGAGGCTGATTACGTTTCATTTGTCTATCAGAGTAAACCAGTGAAATCGCCGCCTGTGGTCCAGTGTCTTCTTTATCTACACAACGCAGACAAGTATAACTGGTGTCGCGAGCCACCGGTTACACTGGCACTACTCCCCCTAGGAATTTTAAGCACAATCCTCAGCGCATCATTATAAGCCACGTTAAGTTTTTTCATTTTTGACTCACTAAAATTACACCACAGGTGGGCTGTATACAGTGAAGTGCAATAGGTTATGAAGAGTGAGATTTTAACATCAGGAGTGCACATGTGGAATTTGCGTGCCAGCATGTTAGCCTGCCCACACAGTTTTCCACACTGACGCTGCACATCATCATCATCACAGAGGTCATCTCTTCACATGGCCCAGGTATTTCACTTTCTTTACAACCTCTAGGGGTTCACCAGCCAATAAAAAAGAAGGATAGACACATTTCATATCCTCCCTGGTTCTGGCGATCAGTACCACACTCTTCATTAAGTTAAATTTTATATCAAACATTAGACCGTATTGAGAACATATTCCAAGAAGTTGCTGAAGGCCAGCACTGGAGGGAGACAGTATCACCAAATCATCAGCATAAAGCATATTATTGATGAGACTATCCCCCACCAAGCACCCAGTTCCACAGCCCTTCAGCTCCCTAGATAGATTATCCATGTACAGATTAAACAGCAACGGAGACAGAATTCCACCCTGCCGCACTCCATTGGAGACATAGAAAGGTGTTGACAAACTCACCCCCCACATGACTTGCATAGTTTGATGAGAGTACCAAAACTGCAGTATCCTAATTAAGTAAGAGGGGACACCACGCTCAAGTAGTTTACCAAACAGTTTCCCATGGTATACGATCAAAAGCCTTTGACGCATCCAGGAAACACATGAAGACTGTGCTATTGTGAGATCTGTACCTATGGACAATTTCTTTTAGAGCATAAATACACAGATCAGTTCCATGCTTGTTCTTAAAACCAAACTGATTATCTGTTGAAGCTATGTGTTCTGCAAGCCTATCCAAAAGAATCCCTTCCAGCACCTTAGATAGTGTATTTGCAAGTGCAATAGGTCTATAGTTATCAATACTAGTTAATTTACCAGTCTTATTTTTAACTACAGGAACTAACAAGACAGACAACATGGATCCAGGAAGTATGCCATGCATCATTAACCCAGAAAAACATACAGCGAGTAAAACTGAAATACTTTGACTAGCGTATTTCAGATGTTCTGCTGCTATTCTATCTTGCCCACAGGCTTTGTTCATTTTAAGTTTGTTAATAGCATAAAATACTTCCTCTGGCCTAATGACTACATGATCACTGTGAGGTATCTCTCCTATGTTAAACACATCACTCTTCACACAGTTAAAAATGTTCTCATAGTGTCTCCTCCATAGCTCTGCAATGTTTTCAGGTTCAGAAATGCCCTCAATACTAGAAGACAGTGGCATTTTGCTGTTGTTAACCACTTTCACCAACTTCCAGAACTCATAAACATTATTAGTATGTAAATTTCTCGCCATAGAGTTTGCCCTCATAGTCTGCTCATTTCTTTTTATAAAATGCACAGCATATTTAAACCTAGCATTGGACCGTACCTTGTGCTCACAGACTGGGCCATGTCTAGGTTTACCAGCTAAGACCCATCTTCTAAACGCATCTCTTGCCTCCATATGAACATCATGGACATAGTCATTCCACCCTGGTCTTACAATATGATGTTTCACCACTTTACTTCTTAGTGATTGACATCCATCAACTAAACTTTTCACAATTCTATCATACATTACACATAGGTCATTATTGTGACTTACATTCTTACAGCAGCTATCCACACACATAATTGCATCGACCGGTAACTCAATATTTCTCAAGTACACATCAGATCAGTATCACATCAGTAACTTGTAATATTGCAGATCATCTTCTGTAAGCCTTGTCCAGTCCAATATCTCACCTAATTTATGGCTATCACTATAGACAAGCTCAGGTAAACCCTTAATATTATATATATGAAAAATGTTCTAAAATAGGTCATTCATTGAAGGAGCGTAATATAAATATTTATATTCGTCTGTATTATAGTTATGGACCACGATTACGCTTTGCCTGCACGTTCTGCTGCTACAACCAGCTTAGTAAAGCTCAAACGTACGGGTGAAAAATATCACCCGAGAAGGGTTTGGGACAGGAGAAGCATGACACAGGTAAACATTGGGGTAGCATTTAAAGCTTCTCGACAAGCTAAACCTACAGAGAGATGCCGTATATCCGTATATTTTGTGAAACGATGATGTCATGCCATGAGCTGAGCTGGTTGTCATTGACAGCGACAACAACTCCCGTGAGCCTACGCTCTTTCCCGACGTCATCAAAGTACGTCTTTTGTTATTATTTTAAATAAGTGAAAATATAGCCCTGGTGGCCAAAAATCGCATACTGTACGTTTAAGGTAGCACTTTATTTTATAGTCAAGTCACATGTATTAAAGGGTTAGTTCACCCAAAAATAAAAATTAAGTCATTAATTACTCACCCCCATGCTGTACCAACCCCGTAAGACCTTCGTTCATCTTCGGAACACAAATGAAGATATTTTTGATTAAATTTGAGAGCTGTATAACTACCACATAGACTTCCGGGACTGGCTCTTGACGGCCCAGAAAGTCAATGAAGAAAATGTTTAAATATTCCATGTGACTACAGTGGCTCAACTATAAGTTTATCAAGCGACGAGAATACTTTTTGTGCGAAAAAACAAACAAAAATAACAAGTTTATTCGACTATTCCTTTTCTTCGTCACCTTTACGAATCTTTTGTTTTGTTGAAGAAGATGAGAAGAACTTTGCTTGTGCGTCTTTGCTTTGGCATTGCTTTGGCTCACCTGTTTCACTTGAGCTGGAGGGGGTAGAGGCCAACATCTCTCTGCTCCCATCTGCACTGTTCTGAATCCCGCTGTCTTTACTCCTCACTGCCATTACAAGAACACAATCAAAACATGCATGAGCCATGAGAATATTGCAGCAATATAACCTGGCATGCCATAGTGTTGTTACGGTGGGGAAAATAAAAAACTTAATACAAACCATCAGATATGTAATTATAGTCCATGAGCCAGAGGGGTTGATCGGTATCATCGGGGGACAAATGCTATCATTTTTTTTTTTTTTTTTGGCAAGGTAAACAGCCCTCGTATTAGAAATATCACAATAGAGGTGCAGGGGTGGTTGCGAAATCACTTTTTCCAGCTCATGATACTAACAACCTAAAATAAATTCCGTTTTTGAAATCTGGTGTATATCTGGTTTAGGCACATGCTAGGGATATTGTCAATATTCTATATGGAGCTTGGTATCATTGGAAAGGGGACCTTTTAGGCTTTCATTTAAGTCTAGTACTGAATCTGTCTGACGAACACAGAGGTCACATGACTTCTTTAAACCAGAAATAACATACATTTTGGTAACACTTTAGAATACTGTATCTTACTTACTGCATAACTAATAAGGAATTAATGAAGAACTAATAGGTAATTCTTTATTAACACTTAAGTCACTACTGTTAACTACTAAGGAAGATGTGTTAACTAATCAGTATGTAATATAATTTTATGATTGTGTTAAGTATAAGTTAGTTAATCAATAGCTATGAATTCTGTCATACCTCCTGAAGAACTACTATTAATTATCTATTAATTAAGGTTCAAGAAAAATAACTATGAAGTAACTACTAATTAACAGTCATGCACAGTAGTCAGTTTGTCATTCTTCAGCACTAATAAGAAAGATAAGTGCAGACATTTACCTATAGGCTATGATCTGCAAATAAGCAAAAACATATCATGTATATTACACCTTATTATTATGCTTAGTTCTTATACATTTTAAACTTCTTTTGCACTATTCAAGTTCCGGCAATATCACGGTAGCCACATACACTGAGCCTGGGTTCTCCCAAAGTTTTTTTCTCCATTCTGTCACCTGATGGAGTTTTGGTTCCTTGCCACTGTTGCCTTTTTCGCCTCTCTTCGCCTTTGTCACCATTGACATTTGGCTTGCTTAGTTGGGGACATTTAACATTTAATTTTGAATTTAACAATACTATTACAACATTGTTTTCCTGTTATCTATGTGAAGCTGCTTTGAAACAATTTGTATTGTAAAAAGCGCTATATAAATAAAGGTGACTTGACTTAACAGTGATTTGGTGACGCAAGAGCGCGGGCATTTGCATCTTCCGGAGAGTTCTCAGCGCTGCCGATTTGGTGCATTTCTTTAGCGAAATACAGATTTGTGTACGTTTTATTTAATCCATAAAATCATGACTGTGCTGTAAATCATTTTGTTTTATGCAAGGCAACATACAAGGACACGACGTCAGTTACCCTATAGCTAGCTAAATCTATTTACATCAGATGTTAAAATCTGTTCTCAGCGCTGTGCACTGTTATGGGCAGGTTATTGAGTCAAGTATTATTTTTTTTTATTCTAAAATGTTTGTTAAATGAGTTTTAATGTAGGCAGTATTATACATGTTAAAACGAAATAAAATTTTTGCTGTATTAAAAAATGTTCTCATCTGAAATAAAGGAAGATATCATGTAAACAAGTAATTGTCGTGTATTTTACAAAGGTTCAGATGATTACGTTAATATATATAGGCTATATATATATACTGTATATATATATATATATATATATATATATATATTAACGTAATCATCTAAACCTTTGTAAAATGGGTTTTAGATGATTACGTATATATATATATATATTTTTTTTACATTAACTTTGATTTGAGTCAGAAGTATGTGGTAATTCTGTATTAATTACTAATGGGTTCCCTATATTGTCACTTTAGAATACTGTTTCAGGTTCTAAGTAATTCCTGAAGGAGTATCTAATAATTATTTATTAATTACTAATAAGTTCCTTATATTTTCACTTTAGAAGACTGTTTCAGATTATAAGTAGCCTAATTCCTGGATAATTATTTGATAATTCTTTATTAATTATTTAGGGGTTCCCTATATTTTCACTTTAGAATACTGTTCCAGCTTCTAAGTAATTCCTGCAGAATTATTTGATACTTATTTATTAATTACTAATAAGTTCCCTATATTTTCAGTTTCCCTCAGTCGTTGCCTCAAATACATGAATTTACTCAATAGCATTCTATGCTGAGGAAAACAGACACACACAGTACTGTATATAAAATATAAAACTCATCTGAGGTTAGTTTTGTATGACTGTTTAGTAGTTATTTCTTAGTTATTTTTCTTGAACCTTAATTAGTAGATAATTAGTAGTAGTTCTTCAGGAGGTATGACAGAATTCATTAGTTATTCATTAGTGATTAACTAACTGATACTTAACACAATCATAAAATTATATCACATACTGATTAGTTAACACATGTTCCTTAGTAGTTAACAGTAGTGAAGAAGTAGTTAATGAAGAATTACCTATTAGTTCGTCAATAATTCCTTATTAATTCTGCAGTAAGTAAGATACAGTATTCTAAAGTGTTACCTACATTTTTTCACAATTTCCGCCTAAACTGTATGCTTTCTTTTGTCCCTGCGGCATGAAAGAACACCAGGGACACAAAACTCAACCACTTCAATACTCAAGGCACTCTGATTACTCAGAAAATGAAATGTATAATATACCCATATTTATTTCTGAGAGCTTTAAATTAGACTTGTGCAACCAGCACAAAAATAGAGTCTTCAATAGATAGAATAGAGCTAATAGCTTGTTTTCATATGACGTCACGCCACTACAAGGAGTTTTTATCCTGTACCAAAAGTTGGTGTTCATAAGGGGGGAAAATGCAAGAAATTGACCAAAAAAAACAGCTAGCGGGAGGAGCCGAATTGGAAAATGCCCGTGTGTGTAACGTTAGTGATCACTTCATCAAAGGTGAGTTAATACAACTTAAGTGACTGTTTGTGTAACGTGTAACATTTCCAAACTTTGTAAAGGCAAAGGATGTCTGTAAAACAAGGTTAGTTGCTGATATCTACCGCCTCGATGGCAGGAAAATATTTAAATTCAGTTGAAAAATCGCTCCTCTTTATATCGTAAGATCACGTCTAACATTATATTTGATTTTTTTTGTTTATATCTTTCTCTTGTAATATCGTGTAAAATAGTACAGTACGGACTTTCCTCCATCTCGTCCATTGCGCTCTTCACTCCCTGCCCTCCATCTGAATTCCGCGCGTCATCATAATCTGTAACGATGAGGAGGCAAGGAGGAATCCAAATGCAGAAAACAGTTTTAATAATAATAATAAACAAACAAAAAGGGAAATCCACGGAAGACAAAGAAACTTCGAAACAGGAACTCAGAACACAACTCAGAAACAAGAACTCAAAACAACGCTACAGTGAAACATCGACCGACCCCCAACAACTGAAACACAGGGGTTTAAATACACAGACAAACAAGCTAAACGAGGGAACAAGGGGGCGTGGTAAATCAGAAACACCTGGGGAAACTTATAAAACAAGAAAGACTACAAAGGACTACAAAACATGGCACAGAAACAGGAAATAACTAAAGTCCACACAAGACAAGGAAAACACAAGACAGGAATCGTGACATAGCCCCCCACCTAAGAAGCGGATTCCAGACGCTCAAAAAACAAAACTGTCCAGGTGGGAGGTGGAGCGGAGGCGGATCTGGGGGCAGGATGGAGGGCTAGGTCCGTGGAGCAGAAGAGGAACGGAACCAGGAGGTAGCAAAGGCGGACCTGGGCCGCAGAACGTGGCCGGAGTAGGATGAGGCGAAGGCCAGGGCGGAGCTGTCAGGTGGCACCCGAGCAGGACCATGTTCGCCATACTCCTCCTGATGGTTCTCCTGCCGGTTCCATAATGAGACCGCCACAGACATTTTGGGCACTGCGGCATATTAAATATATTATAAATAGTTATTCCACGTAAGAAATACAATGTCTGGCGAGAGGGCGTGACAAAAGACCGAAATGAGTAGTTACATAGTTGGTAGTGTTGTTATAACCAGTTAACTGATCCAACAATGTTTTCACGAAACTGACAAAACCTTGTCAAACTGTCAAAATCCATCAACATTTCGTTCATGAGCTCCTGTTATGTTGACAACACTATTGAAACAATTACTTTTTATTACAACTGTACATGAATAAACAGGCCATTTGGCCCTGGACTAATAGGGTATTCTATTTGTCCATTCTATTGCCTCTATTCTATTTTGAAGACCTGAGCTGGCTGCACAAGTCTAATTTAATAAATAATTGCTCTCACAAATAAATAGTATGGGTATATGTGGTATGGGGGGCGTGGTGCAGCGCTGTCTGCAGCGGGAGAGCAGGGGAGGAGTCGAGCGGGAAGTAAGCGGGTCAAGTTCAAATGATAAACACCTGTCTGTGATTTCAGTGATTGGCGTTGGGAGAGTATTTAAGCGGGCCAGTTGGACGCTTGACGCAGAGACTGGAGCTTGTGTGCTGAGCTGGAGCTGTCCGTGGATCCTGATCGGAATATAAAAGAAAGCTGTAAAGAGTGGGAAGAGTGCGACGTCGAAGGAAGCTGTGAATCAGCGAGGAAGAGTTTATTTCTGTTGTGACTGAGTATTGTGAAGTGCGCTGAGGCGTCGTGAAAAGAGTATTATTTGTGTATTTAATAAAGCACACGAGCTCCAGTATTCGCCGACCCCTTGTCTTCTTCCATCACCCTCCTTGAACCGTACTACAGTATATTATACATTTTCTGAGTCATCAGAGTGCCTTGAGTACTAAAGTTGTTGAGTTTTGTGTCCCTTGTGTTCTTTCATGCCACAGGGATAAAAGAAAGCATACAGTTTAGGCGGAAGTTGTGAAAAAATGTTATTTCTGGGAAAGAAGTCATTCATTCCAACGATACCAAGCACAACATTATAGAATATTGACAATATCCCTAGCATGTGCCTAAAAGGGGTTAGTAACTTCATGAGCTGAAAAAAAGTGATTTCGCTACCACCCTTGCACTGCTATCGTGATATTTCTAGTACTAGGGGTGTATACCTTGCCAAAAATCACTATGAGACTTTGTCCCCCCAATGATACCGATGGACCAAATTTTGGGCCCTGGCTCATGGACTATTAGTACCTATATTCTGGCTCCACAAAGTCAACTCATAATAGACATAAGAGACAGAGAGCACTGATTCATGGAATATGGCACTTACAGCTTTGCAACTTTGAGGATGTATCAAAGTAGGAAAAAAGAGAATCAAGCTCATCGGGGCAGAACAGCGAATCACGTCGTACCTCCTGACCACTAATGGAAGCTGGTCACAGTAGAGGGAAAACAAAGAAGCATTAGTTTTCAGTCAAAAAAAACAAACAAACAAACAAAAAAAACACCTGGCTGAAAGATACCACTGATTCCAGCCAGTATTCTGTCTTTGATCTGCAGTCTCCCAGCATTCACCTGAGGTACAGGAGGCAGTTCGGAGTTTGGGTGTGGGAGGGGGAGGCCGCGGGGGAAGAAAATCCATGTTTCCCTTTATACGTTTGTCAAGTTTTCTAAACGTCATGATCTTTTCCTTCTGCTCCTGGGGTGTAGGTTTCAGGACAAACCTCTTTTCTACATACTTAGCACGGATGAAGGCTTCAATCTCCTGTCTTGGATTGTACAGACAGAAATGCAAACAAGTATTAAGAATATTTATTACACTTTATGTAGATATGATGACTGTAGAGGCCATTTACCTAATAAAGTGGCTGGTATTTTTAAATAATCATGTTAAACAGTGAATTCATTACAGATGATTCTGGACATAAATCTCCACCAATCAGAATAGAAATTAGCAAATTGTGTCAAAAGAACTCCTCAGCACGGGAATGCAGGGGAATGCAGCACTGAGAATCACACATAATCTTATGCTGTTAAACTACTTAAATATTTGTATATTTCAATAAACATTTTTTTTACTTTATTGTGTATACACACAAAAGAAAAGAAATAAAAATAAAATAAATAAAATAAATAAAAAAAGAACATGAACATTGTCCTGAGACTGGGCTTCATATATTATTTACAATCAACAACATAAACAATTTAAGACAAAAGCTTATGTCCTATTTCAAAATGTCAATAAAAGGAAAAACACCTAAATCTTCTTTCAAAAACGGAGGTTTTTAATTGTAGTTGTGCTGTCAACCACTCCATTAAATAAACTTGTCTTATCTTTTGTATCAATTGAGTAACAGTGGGTAGCTCAGGTTTTAACCAACAGATTGTTATCATTTTCCTAGCCGTCATTAAGAGGAGATGGAGAAGAAATGCTTAGTCTTGAGAAAAATTGTCTGGAAATATATTCAGTAAAAATGTTTGGGAGTCAAGAGAGATGTTCACTTTTAATAGATTTTCCAAAATGTCCTTAATGTCGTTCCAAAAGTTATGTATGATGGGACAGCCCCAAAAGATTTGAGTTTGATCACCAACCAAACCACAGTTTCTCCAACATTTGTCATTCATAGTACTCTTGGTGAGGAAAGATTTTAACGGAGTCCTGAAAAATCTAATCTTTGTCTTCCAATCAAACTCCCCTCAAACCTGACTGCCCACACCCCTATGACATCCAGAGAAAATGTCAACCCAAACATTGTCATCCAAGAAAACATTCAGCTCCAATTTCCATTGTTGTTTTATGTGTTGTGTATTATCTGACATGTGTCACAAATCCGGAAGACACAGATGGGTAAGTTCAGTGAGTTTATTGAAACAGATGAATCAGTTAAATCAGGTGAGTAACGGTAATCAGAGATTTGCATAGCAGGGTGAACAGTTTGTAATCAGAGTCTCTTATCTTGATGCAGGATGATCAGAACTGAAGGCAGACTGAGAACGGGAGCAGGAAGATGGGATCTGGACCGGAATGCAGGCTGATGGTTCTGGATGAGGACTTCGAGCAGGTAAGTATAAGGTAGGTAAGGAATCAGGTAAGCGGGAGTCCGTTAGTCTAGTGTATAGATGAGACCAGACACTGACTGAATGAACTGGAGTGACTTAAATAGTGGAGGTAGATTGGATGATGATTGAAGGCAGGAGGTGGTGACAGGTGATGATGATTAGAATTCCGAGCAGATCGAGTGGGCGGAGTGAAGGTGTCTGGCGCTGAAGCTGGTGTTGGTGTGTCCGTGACAGTACCCCCCCCCCTTCCACGGCCAGCTCCAGTTGGCCGAAAGGACCGACGACAGGGACGACCACGGCCTCTGGGTGCTGGACCATTCAGATGGGCAGAGTGGAAATCCTGAAGGAGAGCAGGATCTAGGATGTCCTCACGAGGAACCCAACACCTTTCCTCAGTACCAAAGCCCTCCCAGTCGACGAGGTATTCCAGCCGGCCTCCCCGTCGTCGGGAGTCGAGGATCTCGTGGACTCTATAGATGTTATTGTCCTCAGGGTCCACGGGAGGAGGAGGAGGCACATCTTCAGCACCAGACCCTGGGGAGGAAGGAGTGAGAGGATTAGTGTATGGCTTGAGTAGAGACACATGGAAGGATGGTGAGATACGATAGTGAGCAGGGAGTGATAACCGGTAGGTGACTTCATTGATCTGCCTCTGTATTGCGAACGGACCTATGTATCTGGGACTCAGCTTATGACAGGGCTGCCGGAGACGGATGTCCTGAGTTGAGAGCCATACCAATTGCCCGGGCTGATATTGAGGCGTGGAGGAACGTCGAGCATCGGCTTGGGTCTTGTGTCTCCAGACAGCCCGCTGAAGATGGACATGAGCTGAATCCCAGACCCTCTCGCTTGTCTGGAACCAGTGATGGACTGCTGGAACGCTCGAAGGTTCTCCGGACCAGGGGAATAATGGAGGTTGGAAACAGAGTACGCACTGGAACGGGGTGAGGCCGGTGGTGGATTGGTGAAGCGAATTCTGTGCATACTCGGCCCACGGCAGATAGCGACTCCAGCAGTCCTGGTGGTCATGACAGTATGACCGCAGGTATCTCCCGATTTCCTGGATCTTACGCTCAGTCTGGCCGTTGGACTGCGGATGGTATCCTGACTTGAGACTGACCGAAACTCCCAAGAGGTTGAAGAAGGCCTTCCAGACACGTGAAATGAACTGGGGTCCACGGTCGGATACGATATCCTCAGGGATGCCAAAATGACGGAACACTTGTTGGAAAAGTGTTTCAGCAGTTTCAAAGGCAGTGGGTAACCCGGGAAGTGGAATGAGTTTGCAGGCTTTTGAGAAACGGTCCACCCCCACGAGAATGCAAGTGTGAGAGTCAGAAGCAGGTAGATCGGTGATGAAATCCACTCCCAAATGGGACCAGGGTCGTGTAGGTACTGGTAGTGGCACGAGTTTCCCCTCTGGAAGTCGGTGAGGTACCTTGGACATGGCACAGACTGAGCAGCTCTTGACATATCGGGAGACATCTTGGGTCATACTGGGCCACCATTAGCGTTGTTGTAAGAGCGAGAGGGTTTGTTGGCTGCCTGGGTGTTCAGAGCCCGGAGATGTATGAACTGAGTCCATGAGGGACAGACGGAGTCATGATGGTACATATACCCGTCCCTCAGGACCTCCCGGCGGAGCAGGTTCTGTTAGGGTGGCTTCGGCGATGTGATCATCCAGACTCCACTGGATGGGACTGACTACTATGGCTGGAGGGAGAATGGTCTCAGGAACAGAAGGACTCGAGTCCGGTTGAGTCTGGCGAGAAAGAGCATCCGCTTTGATATTTTTGTAGCCTGGGCGGTAGGTAACAGTGAAATTGGAGCGAGTGAAGAAGAGCGCCCATCGAGCTTGGCAAGGGTTGAGTCGACGAGCTTTACGGAGATATTCCAGATTACGATGGTCGGTGATGACCACAAAGGGATGTAGAGCTCCCTCCAGCCAGTGTCTCCATTCCTCCAAAGCAAGCTTGATGGCCAGTACTTCTCGGTTGCCAATATCATAATTCTGCTCCGCCGGGGACAGTTTCTTGGAGAAGAAGGCACATGGATGGAGTCGAGATGGATTCCCCTGCCGCTGTGAGAGGACAGCTCCTACACCAGATGTTGAAGCGTCAACTTCCACGAGGAAGGGAAGGTTTGGATCTGGAAGGACGAGGGTAGGAGCTGAACTGAAGGTCCTCTTCAGCTCTTCGAATGCGTTGATGGCATCCGTGGTCCAGGACAGAGACTTGGCCCCATGTTTGAGGAGTGAAGTGATGGGAGCGCAGATCTGACTGAATCCTTGGATGAAGCGGCGATAGAAGTTGGCGAAACCCAGAAATCATTGCAGTTCTTTACGGTGGAGGGTTGTAGCCAGTGGGTGACAGCGTCCACCTTCCTCTGGTCCATGGCAATACCTTGAGGGGTGATGACATAGCCCAGGAACTGGATGGTGGTTTGATGGAACTCGCACTTCTCCAGCTTCAAGTAAAGATGATGTTCTCTCAGACGCTGAAGGACCAGTTGGACATGATGGACGTGTTCTGATGGGTTGGCTGAGTAGATGAGGATATCATCAATGTAGATGATGACGAATTGATTCAGGTAGTCCCGGAATATTTAGTTCATGAATCTTTGGAAGACGGCTGGTGAGATGGACAAACCGAAGGGCATGACAAGATATTCATGGTGTCCTGCTGGTGTAATGAATGCAGTTTTCCACTCGTCACCTTTACGGATTCTGATCAAATTGTAGGCACTTCGGAGGTCAAGCTTGGAGAAGATACGGGCACCTTGAAGTTGCTCCAGAGCGGTAGGGACCAGAGGAAGTGGATAGCGAAACTTCACAATTGACTGGTTAAGTGTCCGGTAATCAATACAGGGGTGCAAGCCTCCATCCTTTTTCCCTACGAAGAAGAAGCTTGAAGCGGCAGGGGCCGTAGAAGGGCAGATGAAGCCTTGTTGTAGTGCCTCCTGGATGTACTCCTCCATGGCCTTCTATTCCGGGATGGACAATGGATAGATCTTACCGTGCGGAAGAACCGCCCCAGGCAGCAGGTCGATCGCGCAGTCCTATGGCTGGTGAGGTGGTAAAGTAGTTTCCAGTTGCTTACTGAAGACATCCTGGAATGCCCGGTACGGAGGAGGGATTTCGGGTTGAAGATGATCGGTGGAGTTCTCCAACGAAGTGGAAGATACTTCAGATAGATACTTCAGAGTCCGGAGTGTATGAAGGTGGAGAAGTTTTCTGTACCGATTGTACACAGTGACTGAAGCAGTGTTCACCCCATTGCAGGATCTCCCCGGTAGACCACAGGATGCTGGGTGAGTGAACTTCCAGCCATGGGCGTCCCAGGATGATCTCAGCAGTGGAACCCTCCATCACCAAGAACGAGATTTCTTCTTGATGAAGACAGCCGATTCGCATGACAACCTCAGGGCTACGATGTCCAACTCTCCCATGACCAAGAGGTTTTCCTAAAATGGATCGAATCTGGAGGAGGTGAGGAATGGATTTTTGTCTAGTGTGGAGGCATTGAAGTGTGGAGAGTGATATGAAATTTCCAGCTGAACCGGAGTCGATCAGCGCTTGTACTGGAAGAGAGTGTTTGCGGTAAGTGATAGTTACTGGAGTATACTTCATAGATGAAATGGGGAGTGGAAGATGAACTGTACTCACCGCCGGGCGAGGTGGACGAACTGGACAGTTTAGAAGTTGATGACC